TGTTGTTGTTGTTGTTGTTCCGCAACACCAAGCTGTTTTACTTGTTTTACTGAGGATTTTCCACGACTTTTGCCAGGTCAACCATTTTTTAAGTTAGTCTTGGAAGGCTTTAGAGCAAGAACAAGCGCCTGGAAAGAAGCACCCAAAGCCATCTTCGCCATGGCACCCGGGCACCCACCCACTTTGCCCCGTCCGAACCCGACCCCTCCATGTCCGACATGGGACCCGGGTCAACCGAACAAGAACAGACTGTACCAGGACCCGACTCGACAGGTCACCAATGGTTCGACCTCGTTGACCAGGGTCCTTCCCAACCCTCAACTAACAGCCTGGCCAGGAGGTTGCTGGTAGTGACTACTGTATATACTGGAAAGGGCAATGGCTGGCAAGACTCCCCATGGAAAGTTCCAGGTTTTGGCTCCCACAGCCTGCATGGCTCGCATCTTCCGTCAGCTTCCGAGGTATGGGAAATGCAACTTCTGCCAGATTCCCGAAGGGAAGTTGGTGAAGGGTGCTGGTGCATTAGCCAATCCTGGTGGCAAAGGGGGTTGCCAGGAAGGTGGCAAGTGTTGCTCGGCCAAAGCAGTCAGAGGTGGAGTCAGAGGGATGTCGACACAGCCTCCGGATGCAGAGATCGAAGGACGGTCGCAACGGTCCTCCAGCTGATTCCAAGTGATTCCAAGAACATCGCGTCGCGACATCATCAATGCTATAGAACAGATTCCAAAACGAATACTGTACGAAAGCCTTCTCAGGGCTGATTGTGATTTGTTGCGGGAGGCTGTCGAATTCCATTGGGCCTGGGATTTGGCCACCATCATGGCCTGGAAATGTTCAGAGGCTTAACGGTTTAACCATAAGCCTAAGCCATGCGACCAGTGCCACAGCCTCCCAAAAGGTGCCAGCAGCACCCGAATCAGCCGAAGTAGGGATTCGAAGCTGGTTTGGTAGCCTGCCATGTAATTATTCTGTTTAAGTTCATCCAAGTGTATCCTGGCAGATGAAGCTGGACTTTCCCCACTGGGTTGTAGAGGACAATGCTGTTCCTTTGGGATCTTTCAGGGTCCAACATGCAGAGGGACGATAGTTCACTCACCGAGGCATGTTCAAGTTCTCCAAGTGCACCAAATGCGGCCGCAAGGAGTTCTGAGCGAAAAAAGGAGTTCTGTAGCTCCTCGCGGCCCCGAGCGCTTGGGGAGGGGGGTTTTCGGCTGCAGCCACTGGCGCACACGGAGCAGGGATTGGGAGCCAGTGTCGCCATACTTCTTTAAAACTATGCCTAGACTAGGCCCTCCCTTCCAAGAAAGGAACGGATCCTTCCACCTCCTGGCGTCCAAACAAAACCACAATTACCACCAATATAGACCACGGGCTTGACTCCTCCTTTATCGTCGCTTCCTTCGTCTCGGTCGGTCGTTCATGCGTCGGACCGCAACGCGTCCGTCAGGCGGGCTCTCTGATGCTCCAGAGCGGCGCGCACGTGGGGAACCGCGACTTCGAGGAGGCCAAGCGCTGCGCCAAGGAGAGCGCTCGGCGCGCGCCGAGCGCGCGCTCGGGAAGAGCGCTCGGGAAGGGCGCTTCACGCTTCTGTTCTCTTCGAAGCGGAAGCACTATACGGAGAACATTGGAGGGGACGGAGAGAAGTGGGTGGAGCGCGATGGGAGGCAGCTGAAGTGAACTTACTGAGCTCGTGCCACGAGCACGGAGCCAGGGAGCCGGTGGACATCTTGGGCGGGGAGGGTGAGCAGTCCCATTGGAATTGGGTGCTGAACTTGGAGTCACCTCCACTACCTCTGAGGATGGGTCGACTTAAAACCCACCCAAGTCCAACTAGTTCTGAGGGAACGGATGTCCGAATTCCCCGGCAGAACCGGCCAGAGACGGCGTGGACATGCGTGGACCGGTTTCGACGGATGGACGTCGGACGTGGATGGGAAGGAGTCGCGCGACATGTTCAAGTCGGCTGGAGACTATCAGGCGAGGCACTGCGCCGTGGCGCGTGGCGTCTTCGTCGCGCTCAGTTCGGATCTCCCACGGGTGGGGCAGACTTAATTACCAGGCGTTCGAACAACTCCCTTGCGAAGAAGAAACATACGAGAGGACCATCTTAGACCGGTTTATAGCCATTGGGCCAGGAGGCTCCCAATTTAAGATGCACCGTTTTGACTCATGAACTACTCCACTTGGGAAGGATCGTCCCACCCTTACCTAAAGAGGGTAACGTGAATCATATATAAGCAGGACTCTCAAGGGGATGTTCTTCGAATTGAAGCTACACGCTCACGATCCTCCTGCAGAAGCCAGCCAGCAGACAGTGTGATGCACCGTAGGCTATGTTGAGCCGTTTGAGCCTACGCATAATGCGAGCCCACAACGAGCCCAGAACGAGCGCGAGTCCAGGGTCAGGACTCCATCGAAGACTTCATGGATCACGTTGAGGGCTACGAGAAAGGCCGGAGGTGATAGTATGGCGGGGAGGTCCCTATTTGACGGGTGAGGAGTTTGTGGCTTTGTTGGCGCAAGTATTGCTTCAGGTCAGCTAATTTATTCACGGGTTGATCTGGTGAAACGCTGCAGTTATTTCAGGACATCAGACATGATTCGGACTCTTGACAGTCTACACTCAAGCAACTAACTGGGCCGATGTTCCAAACATGGCAGAACTTCCGGTCAGATGGGCTACGATCCACGCTTTTTTGAGGCATGTTTATAGTATACATGAGTCACTCAGTCAGTCACTCCTTTTGTCTGAGATTTGGAGGTTAAGATGCCAAGCAGGCGAACTTCGGACCCTTTTGGAACGACCTCCAATCAACGGTCAGCGGTCAACGGGCGGGGGCGCTCACAGACCTCATGTGGCCGCGACCGTCGCCGGTGGTGTCACGCATTGCGGTCAACGCGCGCGCCACCGACCGGTCTTGCGTGAAGCCGAGTTCGTCCCGTCAATTGGCAAGAACACCCACTAAAAGCCCATATATGCCGCCCCATTGACCCCCCCCGGCACCCCATGGAGCGTCTGGGAAAGTGCCATGCCAGACATCTACGTTGCTCCTCGTCACTGTTGATTGGATCCCCCCTTCCTGGCACCAGCTCCGTCAATTGCTCAGCTTCAGCCCCGGCGGTCACCGTTGGCCCTATACCCTTCACCGCCCTACCCCCGCACCTCTTCTCTCTCTCTCTCGACCGGCGCCGTCGGCAGGTCGACAGAACTTGGACGACTTCCGTGGCTTCTCCATGCGCCGCAGCGACCCCCTGGTCGCCAAGGGCGGCGGCGCCCGCCGCGAGCGAGCGCCCAGGCGCCCCTGGGGCGTGCGCGCGCCGCTGGGGCGAAGGAAGAGTGTGTGGGGTTTGGAACAGAAGCAAGTAGACCGTGGTTTCATCAAGTCACCTTAGTCTTCCTACCAGGACCCTGAGGTCACCAATTGACCTGCAACAGCCTGTTGAGGGTGCTGGTAGGTGAATGATTCACATTCACGTTTCCAAAGCATCAATGTTGATTTGGGTGCAACCACTAAGAATGGGCCGCGAATATGCTCATGATTGAATACATAACTGAGAAATGCCAACACTTGACAGGTCTTTCCTATTGGTTTGCTTTGGATTGTTGTTAGGTGATTCTCCTTCATTTCTGTTGTCATTCTGGTTGTGGTTCTTCTATCTTTTTGGACATCTCTTTGTCTCTTAGATGCTGAAGCGGTTACTCATCCACTGACCTGACTGTCGACCCTGCTTTGCTCCTGGACTTGTGACGGTTCTTTGATGGACCACACTGGCAGTGACAGATCTCCGGTTTACCACCCAGAGGCTCCGTTCACCGTCCCTCAAAACGATTGGTTCGGGCCCAAACACCCTTCCAGAGGATTCAGGTCCGGCCCCGGCACGTCCAGGGTCGCGTCGACGGGCACGTGACCATGATTTACCCTTCTTTTTTGGGGGGGAAGATCTTTTGGTGCCAGGCAGAGCTTACTGCTGGCTCCATCAGTGTGGTGTTTGTTCAACATACAAAGATGAGATGGTGATCGACATTTCAACCACACCCGAAATCAGAACTGAAGGTCCGAAAATCATAGGGATTTGCCGCGTCTGGCGTGATCGAAGCTTTCAAACATGACACCAACTCACGATGGGATTGCTATCTGCCAGCACCAACCACCAGCTTGAATTTCCACAACCTTGGGCTATACCGGTGCTTCTTTGCCGCTTGGGCACGCTTCTCCCCGCTCCCATCCTGGCGACACCGAACACGTGGCGGCGTCGTGCTTCGCCTCGTGAGGAAGCCACGACAGATGTCCAACATTTCGGACATCGAGCTCATCAAGACCGATACCTCGAAGGAGGGCAAGGCGAGTTGGGGCGGTTGGTGCGAGCGAGATGGTGCGAGATCGCGTTGTTGAAGGTGGGGAATGAAGAAGAACGGAGGTGGCACTAGGTGCTTGCTAGGTTGATTGGCTGATAGGTTCGTTGATGGACTATGATGGAGTCATTTCATGTCATGTCAGTTTTCTTTTTTAGTTGTCATGTAATTTTCATTTCATTTCATGTTGATTGGATTTGATGGGTCATTTATTTGTGGTGTGCTCGATGAGACTTCCTTGGTCCTTGGATTTTTTTTTTCCTGATGGGGAGGAGCACAAGCAGAAAGAAGGAACTCCAAATGGCGATGGCTCCCCACGGGTGGTCGCAAGGTCCAGGGACCGCCCAATCGGTGGGGTTTCCATGGAATTCGGACGGAAACACCTATATGGGATTTGCAAATTGTTGAGGTTTTTTGTGGCCTTCACTTTCAGGTGATGCCTGGCACATGTAGATGTGTCTCTTTGGTCACCTGGCTGGGTTGAACCCAGCCCACTAGAGATAATTTCCTATCAGAACCCTTGGGCTCTCCATGGCAGGGGTCGGCCCGACACCGAAAACGCAGGGGTCCAGACCAGACCCGAAACAAACCCTATTATGTAGTGGAGGGTCCGGATTCTTTCTGATGGTCTTTCTGATTGATCTTTGCGGGACCTAAGGGATGCCACCTCCCTTCACCTCTTTCGGGTTGATGCCGGTTGAGGTCACCTTGGCCTTTTTCGATGGCTTTGAAAGTCGATCGGCAGGCGCTGGGGAGGGCTGGGGATAGGCATCGCAAGCGTCTAGAGAGTCGATAAACTCATTTGTAGGCCTATACCAGGACCCTCCAACAGGTCACCAATTGAGGCCTGTTAGGGTCCAACAACCCTCAACTAACAGCCTGGCCAGGAGGGTGCTGGTAGGACCTTTGTAGAAACCCTGGCGCTCCAACCACCTCGCTTGGATCGGCGGCCGCTTGCGCAAGGGATCCGAATTCAGTGACTACCCCAAGGGGGGGGCCTTCAACCAGGACCCACAAATTGGGTGGTTTATCGACACTCCTGAAACGGTTAGAAGGGGCTATTCATTGACACCCCAAACAGTGGGCGCTGGAATAAGTTTTGAGGTTCCGGACCTCTGCGAACTGGAAGATGTTCTAGGATTCCCAGGATTCCTAGCTAGGGCAGAGCCATGATTTGGAGGATGTTTTCGGACAGCGCGGATTGGCAGTTTTCAACAGCTTAGGCCAGCTTGGGTACAGATCATTGGACAGGGAGAAGAGGGGGAACTGAAGCCAAAGTTCCAAGACCAGCGGGGGATTTTGTTTGATCGACGCTCCAGTAACAGCATATAACAGCTATCTTTTGAGAAGATCGACTTCAACTGCAACTTCAGTAGCTCTAGGACAGTCTGGTGTGCTTCCGGAACGCAGCGGAACAGACATCGGTGGCTTTGAGGTTCCGAGGAAAGAACACCACGATGTGTCCTGTCGCACGATGGTCGTCGAAGCAGCTCGACCATCGGTCAGGAGGTACGGTCAGGAGGTTTCCAACAACCACCGGCCGCTGGAGCCTTTAGAATTTCTTGAAGAGTGAGTATACGGAGTCATGCGGAGTGAGTCAACTAAGTCAACTACTTTAAACTTTAAGCACGGTCATGTAGACTCTTGATTAAGAAAAAATCCATTTGGATTATGAAAAAGAGCTACACCGTGTGTCCATTGAAACCCAAATGGACTCTAAGTTTATTGCACACCGTGACGTCGCTGGAGTTTTGGATCGACCGCAGAATGCAGACGCCGAGAGAAGGATGCAGAATGCAAACC